TGCCAACACACAATGCAGTAACTCTTGCTCCATTTCCGAGCGCAGATCCGCTTCTCCCTTAGCCAACATCCTACTTCTTCTTAGTCCCTGCACATTTCCACAAATGTGTGAGACACTTCCGGTATCCAATACCCACGAAGATGTAGTACAGATGTTAGCTTCTATAACATTAATACCTGAGGCAGAAGCTTCACCAAGATTCTTGTCCTTCAGATCCTCCAAGTAAAGGTGACAATTACGCTTCCAGTTTCCAGATACTCCACAGTAATGACAGTCACCCTTATCGGGCTTAGGCTTAGGCGTAGAGACAACTTTTGCCTTTTTCGCCGCTTTCTTTTTGGCTTTGCCCCGCCGCTTCTTGCTGGATTTGTTCTCAACAGCAAGCACAGTCTTGGGCACCACGATATCCTGCTCGGACGATTTCAACATCCCATGCAGTTCGGCTAAGCTCTTAGTCATCCCGTGCATATGGTACTGCATCACGAACTGGTTATAGTCCTCGAGCAATGACATCAGGATCAAGTCTGCAACCAAGTCACCATCGAGCTTCACTCCCATACGCTCAAGTTCTTCAAAATGAGCTCTCATGTTGAGGACATGGGTGTTGACAGAGCTACCTCTCGGCATCTCCGTCTTCACCAGAGCTTTCAGCGTCTTGTACTTTTCAGTACGCGCCAGCTCCTGAAACATGGTCTTGAGTTGTTCAATCATATCAAACACGCTCTTCCCCTCAAACTGCCTCTACAGATTCGGGGCCATGCTTCCCAACATGAGACAGGAGATCTCAATGTCGTCAGTCTGATGCTTCAACCAAGCATCCCTGACGGCTCTCATGGCATTGGCGCAGGCTCTGGTGGTAGAGCCCCTTCCAGGACGTACGACTTCTTGTCGTGCTTGAGAACAATTCTCAAGTTACGATACCAGTCCAAGAAGCTCGTCCCGGTCAGCTTATCCTTCTCAAGGATAGATCGCATCGTCAAACTCGGTACACTACCGGTTGACGCCATGTCCTACAAAAAGACAAAACAGATGCACAAAAACAAAATGCAGATTGTATCAATGATCTACTACCAACTAGTCCATCATCAATCAACAACAACATGGATGCATATACAAGCTATATTCCCATACAGAAAAATAACCCTACAATAATTTTCTATATGAGACTAAGATCCGTATTTCACATAAGAATGAGTTGCTACACTCAGCCTTACGCTATTTAGGTAGACATCTAATGTCAGTCATATCCAATATGACTCTTAGATCCTTTATGAGTAGAGTATGATATCAAATATCATCGCATACTCATCTCATCTGTACCGTTAAGTCTCAAGTCAAACTCGACAACTTAATCTAAGGTAAACCATGTTCAAGCTGTGGAAACCATGATTTTCCACCCGCCTCACAAAGATAATCCGACACGCTCAACATTGGCATGACCCGTGTTACGGACGATCGATGCCTTGACAAGCGCTCTAGTAATGGGAGGTACACGCTTAGCATTACATAAAGGGATTTTCGAAACTACATTTAGATCAAGCATCTACTTTCAAGCTATGAGAACCACCATTTCTCCATCTTGCCTCACCAAGATAGCACGGCACACCCAGCTTTGGCATGGCACATGACACGTACGATTGAGGCCTTGACAAATGTTTTACTCGTAGAGCTCCTAGATCTAATCGGTTTCTGTGCAACGATTGTACAAATCGAATCAAGGATCAACCATTGTTCCTTGATCATATGTATTACATAATCCGAATATACCATCCATTCAATTACGTAATCCCAATCACGAAGCTTCCACTCAATCAAGCATATCTTATATCTTGATTAAGTTACATGTATTCATTCACTATGGACCATCCATAATAATGAACCATGTCTATTTGAGTCACAGTTGATCAGATTAAGCAACGATTGTATAATCGGACTTAGAAAACAAAAGATTTCGGAATCTGGACCTCAGAATGTCCGTTCTAGAGGTAGAACAGACGGTCTAGACTGTGGAGAACAGACGGTTTGCCCTAGATCCGTTCTGGCTCAGATCTGTGGTCATGGACCGGACGGTCCAGACCTTTTGGTCCGAACCATGAATCACACGCAGTCTGCCACCCCTGGACCGTCCGGTCTGGCATACCCAGAATGGACAGTCTAGGGTCACGTGATCAGATCACGTTTTTCCGCGTTCTCGGCCCCAATCAGACCCGAAACACATTCGAATTCATCTGTTGACCCAAAATTCGAACTCTTGCACTCTATGCAACATGAAAACATGCAATCTACCATAGATTCAATCATCAAACATGCATAGAAATCTAAACAAACATGGATTCAAACGATTCAAATTCTATAACGTGCGTGATCGGGTTCTAACAAAATCATACAGAGCAACCAACCACTGATACCACTGTTGGGATTCCTAGTGATCACATCGTTTTTGTATGCATTTTCTTGGCGACATTTGATGCATTTGCTACTAACTTTATGCATGTAGAGACCATCTAGGGGTAGAATATGCCTTTGTTTCTATGTTGTGCAGAACTAGGTGTTAGATGGAGCTTTTGGAGGCGAAAAACGAGTATTACAAGCTGAAAGCAGCGAGTACAAACAGAACAGAAGAATCGAGCTACAGCCCGATTAATCAAGCTAGCCGCCCAGATTTTCTGCCTTGTCGAAAATTCCGAGCTACCACTCCCTTATACGGGCTACCGCCTATTTTAGGCCTGACGAAAATCTACTCAGATTTGGCCCACTCTAGAAGCCCATCTGCAGAAAACAAAGAAGTTTTTAGGGTTTTTCACAAAAGAGGAAAGGGGGGGGAGATACTCCACAGTTTTTGGGCACTTTGAAATTCAGCCACTTTTGAGGAGAGGAGAACTTGGGGAGCAAGGGAAGACTTGGAGAAGGAGAAGAAGAAGAGATCATCACCATTGAAAACCACACAAGCCTTTCTTTCTCTTCTCTACCATACTTTTCTTTGTTTCTTTTTGTTTCCCTCTTTTGAACATGGAGTAGAAACTTAGTTGTGGGTGAGGGATCCCCACTTTTGTAATGGATTCATATGCTTAACTATGGTGTTTATGAGTTCTTTTCCATGGGTTTGGTGTTTTGTACTTCATGCTTCCAACATTGACGAAATCTTAGTTGGTATGATATTAGAACACATTGATCATAGGGATATGGTAGTGTTGTTTGGAACTAAGCACCAAATAGGTGAGACATTCACATTGGAAAATGGTTTTGCTTGCCTAGGGTTTGTGATAGAGAGCATGCATGCATCTAAGGGTCATTTAGATCATTGGGAGATGGGTAAATTGATTCCTTGGATAGTGAGTTTAAGCTTGGGAGAGACAAACTCTATCTAAGATGCTTGAAATCCCTCATTTGGAAATGAACATCATAGACATCATATCATCTTTAACTATGCATGCAAATCAAAAAGGGATCCCGAACCTACAACGCTTGAATCATTGATTGTTAACCGTTTATTCCTATTTGCTTACATTTAGTTTAGTTCACATCATCACCATCATCATTTTAACCCCATTTCCATCATCAACCTAGCCTTAAGATAGATTAATATCACCTAGTCCTCGTGATCGACTCCGGTACTACAACTACCGTATACTTGCGGTTAGTGGTACGAATCGGGTTACAAATTTAGAACTCGGTGCGTGCGCATCAAGTTTTTGGCGCCGTTGCCGGGGACTAGGCAATTTCAGTGTTAATATAGACTTTTGCTAGGTCACCATTTCGCGGGTTACTACTTGGGATCGCTTTGCGTTATTGCTTTCTTTTCACTGCTCTTGGCCCGTTCTTGTTTCCTTTGTGCTAGGTGCTTTGGTGTATGACTAGAAGCACAACCGACAAAGATAGACTTATCTTCGACTCAGAAATCGAAAGGACCGCACGTTTAAACCGAAAGCAACAAAGGATAAGAAGAATGGCCGAAGAAGCCTTGAGAGGAGACTGTGACAACCCAGAGTACCGTAGGAGGGCGGGGAGTGATCGCCGGTGCAGAGGCACGGACAAGGGGCGGCTCCTGACGAGCTTCTGGGTAAGGGGTACAGGGATGAATCGAACACACCGGAATGAGAGAGATCCGAGGGCTGTATAGGTATGGGACTATACAGTTTAAGATAACATAAAAGAATTAGTTGAGCTACTCATAGCAACAAGGTGCACCTACCTTTTTGGTTGACTATCCCGAGAGAACTCCAAAATTAAGCGTGCTGACTCTGGAGCAATCTTAGGATGGGTGACCTACTGGGAAGTGTCTCGGTATGCGTGCGAGTGAGAACAAAACATGCTGGAAGGTCTCGGGTTGCTGTGTGAGGCCAGTTTCAACAATTCGTAGCGGCCTCGGGTTGTTACAGATGGTATCAGAGCCGGTACTCTTCCAGTACGGTGTGGTTCGAGGACGAACCAGGCGGAAGTTGGTGGGCCTGTGACAACCCAGAGTACCGTAGGAGGGCAGGGAGTGATCGCCGGTGCAGAGGCACGGACAAGGGGCGGCTCCTGACGAGCTTCTGGGTAGGGGGTACATGGATGAATCGAACACACCGGAATGAGAGAGATCCGAGGGCTGTATAGGTATGGGACTATACAGTTTAAGATAACATAAAAGAATTAGTTGAGCTACTCATAGCAACAAGGTGCACCTACCTTTTTGGTTGACTATCCCGAGAGAACTCCAAGCGTGCTGACTCTGGAGCAATCTTAGAATGGGTGGTCTACTGGGAAGTGTCTCGGTATGCGTGCGAGTGAGGACAAAACATGCTGGAAGGTCTCGGGTTGCTGTGTGAGGCCAGTTTCAAGAATTCGTAGCGGCCTCGGGTTGTTACAGAGACAATGCTCAAAGGGGTCAGCCCCAAGAGGCCCCTAGGACGCTTCGAACATACACACAACCGAAGCACACTCAACTACTCTCTTGCATTAACAAGGACCCGTTGGAGGACTTCGAACTCCAACCACAATGCATCCAAATGCTCAACAATATGGGTTTTCGAGGTAGGCCCAATGAGGATCCAAACGCTCACCTTACAAACTTCAAGATGAATTGTAATGCGATAAAGAAAGGGCCGAGCATAACTACGGATGATGTGCTCCTTGAAGCCTTTCCCTATTCCTTAATGGAGAGAGCAAGAGATTGGTTCTACACCCTCGAGCCAAACTCCATCTCGTCATGGGATGAGATGGAGGAACAATTCCTAATGCAATATTACTTGCCCACCAAGACTCAACATGCGAGGAACCGGATAAATTCTTTTGTACAAGAAGATGGAGAGAATCTACATGATGCATGGGAACGCTTTAAAGAGTACCAAAGGATGTGCCCTCACCACGGAATGGAGCGAGATTATCTACTATCCATCTTTATCCATGGGTTGAAAGATGACACGAGATCATGGATTGATGCAGCGTGTGGGGGTGACATCTATGACATCCTCTTTCAAGAGTTGGAAGCAACGATTGCAAAACTAGCTAAGGGACGCAGTCACACATCAAATGAGTTTAGTAGAAAGAGCTCAACAAAGGGAGATATCGGAGAAAGCATTGCACTCAAATCAGTCTTGTCACAACTTGAGGAGATAAAACTCCATCTAGCCGGCAATAAGCAAGTGGCTGCGATAGAGGAGCATGGTTCAACACAAATCCAACCAGGAATGTACTTAGTTGATCAAGGAATGGAGGAAGCAAACTATGTTGGCCCGAACCAATACAATCATCCTTCGAACCTCTATCATCCCGGGCTAAGAAACCACTCGAACTTCTCTTACAAGAATCCGGCGAATGCATTGAACACTCAGCCGGGGTTTCAACGAAACAACCAAGGACCCCCAGGATTCCAATCTAAGTTCCAGCAACAATCCCAAGAGTCTTCAAGGTTATCAAGGAACTTCAAACTTCAGAATGCAACAATCACAATCCAAGGAGCAAGATCCTGAAATTAAAGATATGCTCATGCAAATTCTTCAAGGCCAGAAATCACAAGGTATTTCCATTGGGAACATTGAGGCTGAACAAGTTGCATTCAAGAAGCAAATGGATGGAGTACAAGCTCATTTGAAGATCTTGGATAATCAAGTGGCACAACTTGCCTCATCCTCTTCATCAAGGCGGCAAGGAACTCTCCTGGGAAAGAACGAAACAAATCCTCGGGAGCATATTAATGCGGTGGAGCTAAGGAGTGGAAAGCAACTTCCCGAAATCACCCCTCCTATGGCCGAAAGGGGACCAACACCACGGCTAACAAGGGAGGAGAAAGGCAAGGCGATAGAGGAGAGCACTCCTAAGGCGGCCGAACAAGAGAAAGAACCCGTCTACATTCCACCGCCACCTAAGGTACCTCCAATCCCTTTTCCTTCTCGTTGATTTCGTTGTGCTTGACATGGATGAAGATTCCAAGGTCCCGATCATTTTAGGCCGACCATTCCTGAATACCGCGGATGCGGTGGTGCATGTCCGAGCGGGGAGATTAACCATGAAGATTGGGGATGAGACCGTAGAGTTCACCCTCGATCAAAATTTGAAGCAACCCTCCACCGATGATTCAATTTGTTTTGTTGATATTTTGGAAGCAATGGCCGGGGAGGTAATAGAAGAATTCCGCGAAGTTGACCCCCTAGAGATATCACTTATGGCTGCGGGAGAAAGCTTATACAGTAATTGGGAAGAGATTGAGGTGATCAAACGGGCATTAGACGAAGGAAAGGAGCCAGAAAATGAGGAACAGATTTTATGGGCGCCCAGCTCAATTTTTCGGGCCACCAGCTCATTTTCCCTGAGTAAAACACAACTTTGCTCAGAGAATTCAGGCTATCCGCCCAATTTTTCCAACTATAGCCCGAAAAATTCTGATGAAGAACAAAGTTGCGGTGACTCGGACTTGACCATTTTTGCCTTCAATGACATTTCCCGAGAACCAAGGAAGACGTCTTCTACCGATTGGGACCCTGAACAAGCCCCGAAGTTGGAGTTAAAGCCCTTACCACAAGGGCTTAGGTACATATATCTTGGCTCTAACTTTACATACCCAATCATTGTCAATGATGCATTAACCGAAACTCAACTCGAGAAATTGACAACATTGCTCAAGCAATATAGAAGAGTCCTAGAGTATACGTTAGAGGATATCAAGGGTCTTAGTCCTTCACTATGCATGCACCGCATTCACTTAGAAGATAAAGCTAAGTCATCCGTGGAACATCAACGTAGGCTAAACCCTATCATGAAAGAGGTTGTCAAAAAGGAAGTCTTGAAATTGCTAGATGCAGGGATTATCTATCCGATTTCCGATAGTGCGTGGGTTAGCCCGGTACAAGTCGTGCCCAAAAAGGGAGGTATCACGGTCGTTCCTAATGAGAACAATGAACTCATACCAACAAGGACAATTACGGGATGGAGGATGTGCATTGACTATCGCAAGCTAAACACAAACACTCGTAAAGACCACTTCCCTTTTACCATTCATTGATCAAATGTTAGAAAGACTTGCATTGCATTCATATTTTTGCTTTCTCGATGGCTATTCCGGATTCTTCCAAATTCCAATTCATCCTAGCAATCAAGAAAAGACAACATTCACGTGCCCCTACGGTACATTTGCATATAGACGCATGCCATTCGGATTATGCAATGCACCAGCTACATTTCAAAGATGCATGATGGCTATTTTTTCTGATGTGATTGAAGATATCATGGAGGTGTTCATGGACGATTTTTTGGTCCATGGACCCTCCTTTGATGCGTGTCTAACCAACCTTCATCGAGTGTTAAACAGGTGCAGCAAGGCAAACTTGGTTTTAAATTTGGAAAAATACCACTTTATGGTGCAAGAGGGCATCGTGCTTGGTCATAGGATTTCGGATAAAGGGATTGAGGTTGACAGAGCAAAGGTGGAAGTTATTGAGAAGCTTCCTCCCCCGACGAACGTGAAAGGAATCCGAAGTTTCCTCGGACATGCGGGGTTTTATAGGCGTTTCGTAAAAGACTTCTCGAAGATTTCAAGACCCCTAACCGCTCTTTTGGGAAAAGATGTGCCATTTGAGTTTGACAAAGAGTGTCATCAAGCCTTTGAAACACTCAGAAAGGCGTTGGTAACACCTCCAATCATCCAACCCCCAGATTGGGATATTCCCTTTGAACTCATGTGTGATGCTAACGACTACGCAGTGGGTGCAGTTTTGGGACAGAAAAAAGATGGAAAACATCATGCGATTTACTACGCTAGTAAGACGCTAGACGACGCTCAAATGAACTACTTAACTACGGAGAAGGAGCTCCTTGCGGTAGTATTTGCGTTTGAGAAATTCTGATCCTACTTGGTTGGATTGAAAGTCATCGTTTACACGGATCACGCGGCCTTGCGATATCTACTCACGAAGAAAGACGCCAAGCCGCGGTTGATTAGATGGATATTGCTTCTACAAGAGTTTGACTTAGAAATTCGAGATCGCAAGGGGACGGAAAATACAGTGGCCGATCATTTGTCAAGACTAGAAGTACCCGACGAGATGCCGATCAATGATTCACTACGAGAAGAGTAAATTTTAGCATTAGATGTCAGTTCCGATGTCCCTTGGTATGCGGATTTTGTCAATTATTTGGTTGCCAAGGTGATTCCACCGGAGTTGAGCTATAATGGAAAGAAAAAGTTCCTCCACGATGTTCGGGACTACTTTTGGGACGAACCATTTCTCTTCAAACGAGGAAAAGATGGGTTGTTTAGAAGATGCATCGCCAAAGAGGAAGTGCAGCAAGTGATCCACCATTGTCATGCGTCGGATTATGCGGGTCATTTTGCATCGTCCAAGACATCCGCAAAGGTTTTGCAAGCAGGTTTTTATTGGCCGACTCTCTTTAAGGATGTCCACCGTTTTGTGAGCTCTTGTGACGCTTGTCAAAGAACAGGAAATATTTCGCGTCGAAATGAGATGCCACAAAATTATATCTTAGAAGTGGAACCATTCGATGTTCTTGCCATACACGAGTTGGAACGAAGTCATTCCTATTGGGGTCTTAAAGGCAGTCCTATAAGCCCATACCGCATCTTCTAACTTCAACGACCAATCCTTTCTTGACTTAGCCACTGTTTTCTCTAGGATGGACTTGATCTCTCGGTAGTACCGGCTCTGATGCCCACTTGTTTGCGGGTGGTAAGCAGTGGCTACTCTATGGTGAACACCATATTTCATCAAAAGGGTTTGAATCACCCTATTGATGCAGTGAGCCCCTCCATCGCTTATCACCACTCTAGGTACCCCAAACCTCGGAAATATTGTCCTTTTGAACATTTTCGCCACAGTGCTAGAGTCGTTCTTCGGGCTTGCTAATACCTCTACCCATTTTGTCACATAATCCACAGCCACAAGGATATACAAGTTCCCACAAGATGATGGGAATGGACCCATGAAGTCGATTCCCCGCACATCGAATGGTTCCACTTCTAAGATATAATTTTGTGGCATCTCATTTCGACGCGAAATATTTCCTGTTCTTTGACAAGCGTCACAAGAGCTCACAAAACGGTGGACATCCTTAAAGAGAGTCGGCCAATAAAAACCCGCTTGCAAAACCTTTGCGGAAGTCTTGGACGATGCAAAATGACCCGCATAATCCTTGACTGCGTCAAACGTCGTCTTTAACCGGATGATTATAACGGCGTTGATCAGATACGTTCACGAATCATATGGAGATAATAGACATGCAATATGGGACTTATCACCTCCTCAATAGGAGAGATATCGCTGGGCCCTCTCGTGGAAGTCGGACTATGAAAATGCGTGGCCACGCTATAGATGAAGTTGCATCTATTTTATTAGTTGATTTGCCAAGACGAGAAAGCGGTTGAACTTGAAGGGTGGCTCAAACCATGCCCTTGTTCAACATATGATATCGTGAGATAAAGGATCAGAACTCGAGCTGTTATTGCCTTGGTTAGATCACCTCTAACTCAATTCAACGTGGGTGGTCATGGCGTCTTGCTAGAGGCTAACCATGACTTGTAGATCGGGAATGGTTCTCGAGGCTGCTGCCACTGCGAATGGGCCTACAGGGTCACACACCATTAGGGATGGACTTATATGTGAAGTTTCGGAAAGGAAGACTTGGATTTGGTCGAAAACCGGTTTTCGGATCAAATCAGAGTGTCGGGACGTTTTCAGCCTTCTGACTCGGACCGAGTCAGTACTTGACTCGGACCGAGTCAGTTTCGAAGCCCAGAAAGTGTTTTGGGCTTGGCTGATGTTTTGACTCGGTCGAGTCAAAGTTTTGACTCGGACCGAGTCAATACTAAATGGGCCGAGTCAAGAGTTAACAATGGGCTTTGGCTGATTCGTTCTGACTCAACCGAGTCAGAGTTCTGACCCGAACCGAGTCAATACTCGGAAAAAGTCTCTTTTCACAAGGATTAGGGTTCCTATCTTATAAGAAGGGTATTGGACGCCGTCCTCAACCTAAGACAGACGAAAAGAACCCTAAAACAGAGCAAAAACTCAGAAGAAATCGTTTCTTTCATAGTTCTAGCTCCCGGGATTAGATCCGCGTCAGGTATGGCCACTGTATTCTCCGTCCCCTTGCGATCTCGAATTTCCAAATCAAACTCTTAATAACCCGAACAATCGTGTATATCGTCGTGGGATTCGAATACTTACCTCGTTCTTTCAAGATCTGGAAGTATCAATCGATCCAGGTCCTGTTTTAATCACCAAGAGCTGAAAATACAGCTCCTCTACACGTATCCACACCGACGGAAAGGATTCCAAACTGTCAGTTCCGATGTCCCTTGGTATGCGGATTTTGTCAATTATTTGGTTGCCAAGGTGATTCCACCGGAGTTGAGCTATAATGGAAAGAAAAAGTTCCTCCACGATGTTCGGGACTACTTTTGGGACGAACCATTTCTCTTCAAACGAGGAAAAGATGGGTTGTTTAGAAGATGCATCGC